CTTAATACAGAAATAAAAGTAGTTAAAACAAATAAGAGAGACCAAACAACTGTTGGAGATAAGATTTCTAATGTGAAAGATTTCTTTTTAAATTCAGAAAATTGTGAAAATGATTCCAATGGAATAAATGTAGATGATTTTTCGGGGAAAACGTTTGCTCGTCAGGATGCCAAACATCCTCTTCCATCTACTCCTCTCAGGCGTCAGACTTACATTTTAGGAAATAGCTCTCCAGAAAAAAACTCTGAAGTGAACATTAATATCTGTGAAGATAAAACAGATGTAACAGAGAAGATGTCTTCAAAAATATCTTCTAATACAAATACTACTCATAGGAAAAAGTATCATAAGAGAACTGGATTAAAACAAAAGTATAAGCTTTCACCTCTGCAAAGAAATTTTTATACAAAAACTACTTCAAAAACACCAGAGTCAAGACGTGAAACTTTTACAAAACAATCATTATCACAACTGGAAGATAGTTTAGAGTTTGAACCAAATGAGCTGTTAGATGATTCTTTCAATATGCTAACAAAATCAAATACAAAACATAATGTTGAAGGATACAATAATTTTGTGCCAAATAATTTAATGGATAAGTTTATATTAAATGAACAGAATTCTGGAAAAGTAAATTTCTTTACTAATAAAAATTTTGTAGAAGGTATTTACAAGGAAGGAATGAATGTAATTTCTGAAGTGGATGTAGACAATGCAAACAATCTCTATANCATCAATAAGAACGGAAACTCATATCCAAAGACAAACTGCTTTAACTCAATTAATAAAGAAGAAAGAATTGTGGGATATAAATGATCAACGATCCAAATAAGTTCATTATTTGATTAGAGAAATGATAAGTGTAGATATACTCTGTTATGTCTTATTTAGGATTTCAAAGATTACTAAAAAAAATGTTCTTAATTACAATATTCCTAGCAAAAGATATTTTTTCTGAAAATATCATCCCTGGTAGATTTCAAAAAGTTCAGTCAAAAATTCAGAAAGCTATCGATGATGCAAAATATATTTCTTTAACCGCTGACTTTTGAACAGCAACTATAAACCATACAGCTATACAAATCAGTGAACAGATAATGTTCTTGAACAGTATAAGTTGACAAATGATAAGATGTTCTTAGTATTGAGACATTCTGGAGCAAATATGGTAGCTAGAATCAGGAATTGCAATTTAGAGGCATTATCATGCTTTATACATACACTGCAGCTGACACTAAACGAGTGAATATTTTCTGAACAAGATAACTATAATCACAGTTAATAGAAATATTGTCACACATTTTAATCATTCTGCTGTAGCTGTAAGCAAATTAAAAGATTTGCAAGACAAGTTAGGTTTGCAGAAACACAAATTAATTCAAGATGTTCTACTCGCTAGAATTCTACATACTACACGTTGCAAAGAAACTTGGAACAGCAAAAAGCCCTTGTCAAAATTCCTACGTTGAGCCCATATCAATGCTTGTAAAAATTGTTTTAATTTTAAAGCCATTCGAAGAAATTACTGTGGAAGCCAGCAAACGAGAAACCACATCCTCTTCAATAATTCCCACAATACAAACGCTGAATTTATCTTAATCAATAGCAAAGAGCAATAGTTCCTTTAGTGGCATTAATATCACATTATAAAACCAAAAAATTCAATAAAGAAAAGACTTTCAGCATGCATAGAAAACAAGTGTTTATGCTTGTCATCTTTATTAGATTCAAGTTTCAAAATGAAATTTCAAAAAGAGAATTGGTAGACGAAATAAAAAGATGGACAATTAATAGCTTAGATGTTGATAATACAAAATCTCAAGAAGAATTAAATTCTGAAGCTTCTACTTCTGGAGATGATCAAGATGGAAGAGAATCTCTAAGTTTTTCTAATTTATTTGATGAATTAGCTTCTGGTAAACGAAAGAATGAAGAAGAGTTGTTGTTTTCAAAAGAAAGAAAAAACGTAACGAACGAACAAACATTTCGATCAAGAATTAAAAAAATATTTACATTTACCACGTATACGAAGACATAGTGACCCTTTTTTGTGGTGGGGAAGTTCAAAAGAACTTTTTCCTAATTTGAGCAAAATAGCTATGAAATATCTAAGTGTCTCAGATATTCCATTGAAAGTGAAAGAATTTTCAGCACTGGAGGTAACATTTGTGAGTCGTTTCCACAGCAATTACATCTGTGGGTAAATCAGACCCAGAATAGCAAACGATGCCTATATGCCTTTATGTCCGATGGATCTAGGCGAAATGAAATCCTACAAGGTTCTAAAAGTTGCTTTAAATTGCACTCTTATTCTACAAGAAATTGTCCTCTTGCTATGATATAATGATATTCTAATAACTTATTATCAGCATCATTACGTCTGTAGTAATAAAATATCATTCAATTCCAATACTTTTTTGGTGCATAACATTTTTTTTTCTTTTTTTTTTTGGTGGATGAGTGTACTTATTTAAAATTTAAAATGTTTCAATGGAAATTGTATCAGATTATAAACACTCGCGACAGGAAACAGTAATTAAAAAATATTTTATTGTTATCTTTCAAGCTTTTCTGATATGAAAAAAATTAAAACATTCATTAAATAAGAACCATTATATTAAATAGTTTTATTTCATTAAGTTAACTTTTTCTCAGCTTTCGCCAAACTATATTCTATTTATCGAATATTTAGAAATTTCTTATGATTGATTTTTAAAATAAATTGTTGATTCTTTCACAGATCAATATTTAAACTATAATAAATTATTATATTTTTATTTGAAATTCAAGTAAATCATAATATTGATTTATTTTGTACATAATACATAATTGAATTTAATTGAATTAAACATTTTCTTTATATATTTATATTTTGTATTATCTTGTAACAAGGAAGTGTTTCCGATTGTTTAATTCATTTTCTTAAGATTTATATTATATATATATATACGTATATATATAGGTCTGTAGCCTGTATATCATTTTTAATTTAAGGTTATAAAATACAGTTTTAATAACTAATGAGCAATTTAAAATCTAAATTGGAAAAAATCAGGGAAAAATTATATAAGTTTATTTATTTATACATAAGAAAATGAGGAAGTATAGAGATTTTTATATAAATAAATTATTAAGAATAATAAGTAAGATTAATATGTAAATGAAATAATAATAATGTTTAGTGCAACTGATAGAGAAAACAGTATGAATTCTTATGATTCAGGCAGTATTAATATCATATTTCAGTATGAATATTATAAGATATAGTCATGCAAAAATGAAAATGGTATGAAATATAAATAAAAGAAATATTATTTCACGACATAAGGATAAGTGTAGAAAAATTGTTTTAATATAAGCTTATGTGCTATAACATGCAAAACTAGTATAAAATAAAAACTCATTTTTAAGTGAAGTAATTTTTTGTTAGAATTAAAAAATGAATTCTAGGAAGATTTATAAATATCCTGTTTAGTATTGAAAGGGAGTTTTTCTTAACAATGTTTTTGTACTAATGAAACATTAAATTCATTTTTTAAAGAAAGTAATTTATATAATAAGCAATAATGTGTAAAATAGTAGATAGGCACGTGTTCGCCTTAAAGGTATAAAAATAATTTTATAAAATTTAGAAATTTTCCAGTAAATAAAAGAGTTACGCTATTTATTTTTTCCTCTTGTTTTTAATTATATGGTTTCTTTAGCTTGAATTTTTACCTAGCATAATTATATTCGATATTTTTCTTACTGTTCTTTTGAGATTGTTTTAATTATTAATTTTTAAGAGTATTTATATTTAAATTATATTTTACATTTTCAGAATTATAAAAATTTTCAGAAGAAACGTTTTGATAAATATTGAAAATTGTTTTATATCTATAAATAATGTTTGAATAAAAGTTGTTTTCAATATAATCACCATTTTAAATTTATTTTGAGAAATATTAAAAGGTATATTAATTAAAAATTTTGAATCTTGGTATTTTAAATCTATAGTTTAAATCTATTTTAAATTAATTAGCAATTACGATTTACTAATTATAAAAATTATCGTATTAATCGAAGATTTCAAGTTTTCTTTTTAATGTTTCTTTAAAGTATAAGAGTATATATATTTATATAAAAAATTAAAATTAATTATTACAATATTAATTTTTCAATATGACAAATAAAATTTATGTAATAACTATTATAAAAACTTTTAATAATAGTATTAATTTCTATTGTGTAATTATATTTAAATAAGACTTTTGTTTATTAAACTTCTTTACAGAAGACTTGTTTGTATAAGATGATGATATGAATTTATATATCAAAAAATTCAAATCCTAATCTGCCAATATACATTTTTCTCAAAAATAAATTAATTGCTTAAAATCATATTATATTAATCTAATTTTTATGCTAAATTTCTTTGTTATTTTTGGTATAGAAATGTCACAAAATCTCTGTAGCTTAAAGAATTAGACATATTTCATAATAATTTATAAAAAGAGAAAGATTTCCGATTACCTTCTATTCCATGAAAATTTTTGATGAATTATCCAATCGAATATAAAAATAGAGATATTTTTATAAGGATATTATTAGAAATATTATTAGAAATTAAGGCAACTGGAAATAGAAAATTTTATCAATATCTTTTGGAATCAATAAAAATTATTATTTGTTACTAAAATGCATTAAAGATTTTTTATATGAAAAGTTTCTACATTTCAAATTATTTACAGCCAATCTTAAAAAAATGATTGGGCATACAAACAAATAACACCTCTCATTTATTTAATAAACAATTTACGATAATTATATTTATCAATTTTCAAATGCAACTGTATTAAATTTATAGAAATTAAACTTTATGTGATTTAATAATCGAATTTAAAAGTCGATAAAAAATCAAAAATAGTATATTCTTAATTTCTCTTTTTATACAAGTTAATAGTCAAATTGAAAAAGTATTGATTTATTATGATTAATATTCATAATTATTAATGACTTACTACAATGCATTTGATCCTTTTGCCAGTATGGAGCCATTCCAAATATTCTATTGCCATTTTTATCTACACAATAACATCTGTAATAAAAAACATATTTATGAAATTATTTTTTGTGTGTGATTTTTTCAACAGAAATAAATATTTTATTCTATAAGATAAAAATTTATTGTAGTAAATTATGTAAGAATAAATGGGACATATAGGTCAATAAATATACTGTTATTTCTTATGATAAATAATAAATCAACCATAATTCAAATTTTAGAGATGATTAAGAAATAATATAATTTTTATTACTATTAATCAATAATGGTAATAAATTTATTAATTCATTTCTATTAATCAAAAAATATATTAAGAAATTCGAATAATCTGTAGATATCACGTAAGAAACAATAAAATTTCTGCTTTAAAAATGAAATAAATAAATCTAATTTTGATATAAAAAGAAACAAATGAAACAGAAAGAAAGAGCTGATTTGTTTGTATAAAATAATAGTTTCAATATTAAAAAAAAAAAAAAAAAACTTACAAGTGTTTGATGACCTGAAGAGAATGAACTCTTACAGATTCTCGTGCATAGTATTTAGAGGGAAGGGACTAACAGAAAATTCAAAGAAAACTTGAATTCAGTGTTCAGAAAAATATTCAGAATTTCAATTCTATGAAAGCATGAGTGATTTGACAATTGATATAAAAGAAAAAAAAACAAGTTTGGCTGACCTGAAAAGATTCAATCTATCTCAAAGATGAAGGAAGTTGAAAAACATGGAATATATGCTATTGAATAGATCTCTATTTTCATTTATTTGCTGTTATTAAAAATCTGACAATTTAATAATCATAAATTTTAAGAAGTTATTTATTATCCTTGGGAAAATTTCGTATATCTGGCATTAAACTTTTATAAAAGTTTTTTTTAAGCATTTAATTAATTCCGACCGTGTTAAAAATGTAGATTAAATTAAGCAAAAATTAAACTTAAATAATAGATAAGTTTAATATTACTTTAAAATAGCATAAATGACAATTTTCTATGTACATTTTTATCCAATTTACAGTAAATAAAATTAATTTTTAAATATTTTAGTGATGAAGAGAAATTTTAAAAGGAATTAAAATTTCTGTATAATTAAATTTAATTGAATTTAATAATACAATTACTCATAATCTACAAAATAAACAGTAAAGTGAGCTTCAGAATGACATGTACTATAAATATCAGTTTGCTTTTAATTTGAAATTTTAGAAATTAATCTATTCATTTCTAAAGTTAATTTAACAAAAATCAACACACTAAGAAATTAAATTTACAAACTACTTTTAATATTTTCACTTTTTTTTAATAAATTAATAATAATAATTAATGCAGTGGATATGATATATAAATATTTCATTTTATTAATTTTCAAACGTTTTTGAAACATATTTATTATTTTAATTGAAGAAAATCATACAAAATCCTTCCTTTGTAAACAGGAAATACAGGAAACATTTTAAAATTTTTCTAATATAGTTTCTATAATAATAATAATAATAATATACCTTGACTCTTGTCCGGCATAGTACACAGCCACCGGTGTGTACCGAGTATAACCCACTAAACCCAACATAATAATAATAAACAGACCAGACATCACACTCATTGACAAACACAATAAAACCACATACATTATAGACATAGCCATTCCAAACACTCACAATGTACAAAACACATGCACAGAAAAAATTAGCAAGTACACAGAACTCGTCCAGGAAATAAGGCATCTGTGGAGGATGGATAGGGTGCTTATTGTACCTGTCGTTCTCTCCTGTACAGGTGTGATACCACACACACTACACAAAAGCCTGGTAACATTACAATTGAATAGAAATACATACATCACACTACAGAAGGCCACTATATTGAATACATGCC